GCTTCCTCCCATTGTGATCTTAGGTAAGCTTTTTGGCCCCAGTTTCTCCCTCTGTAAAATGAGAGAGGATGGACTAGGTGACCCACGAGATTCCCTTCTGACTTGAACTCTTCTTCTCTTCCTGAAATTTACAGCACACTGAAGCACATAGAGAATAATCAGAAATAATGTGATGCAGTGGAAAGAATTCTGGGCTTAAGTTGGGTGCTGTAATACTTGTTGGAGTATTACAGAAGGGATCCTCCTCGGGTATGAGCTGGGCTAGAAGGGTTCTGAGGTCTCTGCCTACTTTGACTTTCTGTGATGAATTTGCCATTGTCTTGAGTGCAAGAGAGCATTTTCACTCAGCTTCAAGGGTGATGCTAGTCTCTCAGTCACTGCTAATTGATGTTGATACTTCAGTTGTCCATCTTTGGTCTGCTGTAGACCTGCCCTGCCATGGGGGTTCTTCCTGTGCTATACCTAACCTGGCTTGGGCCACTGACTTTTTTTAAATCTACCAAACTGCATCATTGCCTTGATTTTTTTTAAAATGCCTATCTCCTGTTAAAAGAGGAGGGGGAGCCTTTAAGGAACAGAATTATCCACTGAATCACAGACCATTAGAGCAGAGGGGAACTTTAGTGGTCACTTGAACTGATCTTTTTCTTTTCTAGAAACTGAGGCCAAGATGAGAGACTTAGTCAAAGTCACATAGCCAATTAGTGGAAGAACCAGATTCAAGGCTGAGACAATCCCAGATACACAGGAGCAATAATTTTAAAACAAAATTATCTTTTCATTAGCTGGGTACACCTTTTAAAAACCAATGAAATTATATTCTCTTTTCTTTATAATTTAAAACATAATAGCAGTAAGTTAATTTTAAGCTTCCAATGCATAAATTGTGGGGGGAGGATACAATTGAAAACTATTTTATAGCATTCTTTTCTGTTCCCTTTGAAACAGATAATTTTTCTGATCTTCTTATTCTTCCTTTGAAGACCTTCAAAAAATGTTTTTCAATTACAATTATTAATTGAAATGCAGAATTAATCGTAACTGCCATTGCCAAATTAAAATTATAGTGTCCAAATGCTTTAGATTGTGGAAAGTTCTGGTGACTTTGTGTCTCTGAGAACCCTAGATCTTTCTCTTATACTTTGGTCCAACCAGACTTCAAGCCTAGGTCCAGCTGACTATAGGGACTTTAGAAGACTTTCTACCAGAGGGGTCAGAAATACTTATTCAGTCATTTTTCAATTCAATTCAGCAGTTTATTAAGAGCATTTAGTATGTGGAAAGCCCAGGACTAGATGCTAGGGATTCCAAGATGACATAAAGAGGAGTTTTTGGACTCAGATCTTTTGAGTTTTGTTCATTCTCTCTCCATAGCATATTTTCCATCCATCCCCATATTCCTTTCCACTCCCACTCCCACTGATGCTATAAACATGTGCACAAATACTGCTGATGATGCAAAGGAGAAAGTGATAAAAGCAAAGTGTTAGACAGAAAGCTCAGAGAATTTTGAATAAGCAGAGACAATTTTCACATGATAGTGGTGGTAGGGCAAGCGGCAGGGGTGGAGGGAGGGATCAGGGGAGGTGGCACCCAACTTAGGCCTTAAAGGAAGAAAAGAATTAGAACAGGTGGAACAAGGAGGCAAGGAATTCATCCTAAGTATAGGATTGCACTAAAGGAGGACAGGACAATAAAAAGGTCTGGTGAGTGAACCAGTTGAGCTACAAAATGAAGGCAAATCTGTTGAGATAACACTGGAATGATACACTGGGGTCAGATTGGAAAGATCCTTGAAGACCAGAATTGGGGGTCTCTACTGTATTTGATAGACAGTGGGGAACCACTGAAGCTTTTGGGGGCTGAGAAATGACATTGAATGGGCAGTGCATTAGGAAGGTTATTAGAATAGCTGTGTGAAAGATGTTTGAGGAGAGAGAGATTGAAGTCATCTACCCTGAACTAGGGTAGACAGACTAAGAGTGAAATGAGAAAGTAGATTCAATTCAGTTTGTGGAAACAGAGTTAATAGTGTAGAGAACTGATTAGGAGAAGTGAGAGAAAATGAAGTCAAGACCCCGCTGAGCTTTGGAGCTGGAGTAAGTTTGAGACATCATTCATAGGAATAGAGAAATCAGAGAGAGGGACAAGTCTGTCTTTCTTCCTACCTTACCGTGCTGCCTCTCATGCTAAGAAAAGAGAAAATAGGGCCTTTCAAGCAAAAGTGTCAGGCTAGGGCTGAGGATGTTCCATTGCCCAGAGAGTAGTGAAGAAAGTAGTCTGTCTCTTGCCCAGCTGCTTCTTCTTTGAGTGTCTTGCAGACATCCACCAAAGCCTCACTGCAAACCTTTCCCTCTCTCTATCAGTGAAGAAACTCCCAAAAGTTTCTCCTTTCCACTCAATCTGCTCCTGACTCGGGGAAAAAAAGCTTGACTTCTTTGTTTCATGGGGAGTGGAAAGTAAGAGCATTAAAGACGGCCCTCCAGTGTTAAACACCTGTGGCACAGCAGTTAACTTAAAATAATATTGAAATGTCTTTTCATCTGACATTCTCCACAAACCTGTCTCCTTTTATGTGTACGCGGGCAAGTATATAAATTGCTGAATCCGTGTCAGTTGTAAAGTAATGGCATGGAGGCCATCATAAATTACCCTGGTGATCCTCAGGAGAAGACACTGTGTCGTATCTGAATAAGTGTTTTGCTTCTAGAGTAATGTATGCCTTCATCTGGCCCAGCAGTCAGCATATTGCCCCGTGTTGATGGATATTGTCAGCTTGAAGCTACACTACATTTCACTGCGCAATAAACATGGCTGTCAAAGCCATAGCAAGTGAAATCAATTTATCCTGTATGGTCAGTGCATTTTAAATGAAATTAATGTACTGTGGGGATGATGGCAAAAAGGTAGCATATTAGTTATGCATCCCATGCTTGGGGACTTTCCATAGAAGGAATCTCTCTGCCTAGCTAGTGGGGTCCAAAGGAAGGGGGGCTGGCAAAAAGACTGTGTTTGTGAGCCCTTTGGGATACCCTCCATCCCTGTAGAGAATGGGAATTCAGCAGAATAACCAACTTGTTCTTTTTAATCCTGTCTTTTGTTGGAAATAAATGATGGCCGTGTTTATGAAATAATAATGCACTTTAATGTTCTAATTTATTACGGACTTTGACACCAATACATTTCTACTTAATCAAGGTATCCTGAGGTAGAGTGGTCGAGCCTGAGATTGATTAATCCACATTGCTTCTGTGCAATAACTCAACTGAACTGAAAGGATTTACTTTTTCCAGAAAGCAGTAACTATGCCTTCTAAAATATATTTTGCTTCTTTCTAAACATGTAAGGGTAGCTATTCTGGCTTTCTCAGAAGGAGGATTGACAGTAACAATCTCTCCTGCTCCAAATTCAATGTATAGATATTCTTTACCTGCATGAATTTACCAGGGCACCCCTTGGGTTCTGGGGATGATAAGCTGCAATAGAACTGAGGGCTTTGGTTTCTTAAGGTAGGGAAAAACCAAAACATTTATCAGGGAGAGGCAGAAACTTATTTCTGTAATCTGCATAATATTTGTTCTAAAGTCTATTCATTTATACAGTTAAAATTCTGAAAGGGGGTGATTGTAGGGGCTACTCAGTGCCTTTCAACCTGTCCATTATAAAGAAGCTCATTGAACTTAGGAAATATTATTCCTTGGGGAACAGATTGGCAAGGAGGAAGTGTGAATTTCAATGTAATTTCAATGAAGTCACTCAATTTATAGGGGAGCCAACCTCAATGCTCCCCACCTCTGTATCCTCTAGCCTCAGTGTTTCTGGGGGTGTCATGCTTGATCCTAGACTTTGGAGCAGACTCGGGGCAAGAACTCTGTTTACTAAACCAAAAAGGTCTGGTCCATCAGGGGCTAAAATGATCTTATACACAGACAGAAGGTAGCAGATAAACAACATCAAAACTAGGACCCTGGAGCCTCTGAAATGAAGGGATTCCTACTGTCTGTCTGAAAAAGATGATTTATGGGAAAAACTAAGCAACTTGTTTTGCTTTGGAATTTTAGAAGCAATTTGAGAAGACAAAGATGCTACGAGGGGCCATTTCTTTCTCCAACATGCCTTGGGCGGAAAAGAAACATGGGAGCTTGTCCCACTGGGTTAATTGTACTTTGAGACCTCAGGAAAAATGGTCCATTGGAATTCATTCTATCCTCTACCATGTGTAGGGAACTGTGCTCAGCCATGAGAGAGGTACAGAGATCACTTACACACGGCCACCACTGCCTTCTTTGAGCTCACACTCAGGCCAAAAGGACCGATACATATATAAATGAGCAACACTGTTCAGCAGCTGTATTTTAGTCTAATTTAGTTCAGCAATAATTTATTTAGTGTCTACTATGAACCAGGCACTGTGCTAGATGGACATTAGGGACAGGAAGACAAAAATGAAAACAACTGCTCTCAGGGAGCTTACCTTCTACTTTGGAAAACAACACATACACATGTAAGTAAAATAAATACAAAGTAATTTTTAGGGGAGGCATTAGCAACTGAGGGTATCAGGAAAGGTTTTCCTTTATTTCTTTATTATTTCTTAGCAGGGATTCTTAACCTTTCTCATACCTTGTATCCCTGTGACAGTCTAGTGAAGCCTGTGGACTCTTTCTCAGATTAATGTTTTTAAATGCATAAACTAAAATATATACGATTATACTATATACAAACTGCATATGCAGTTTTCAAACGATATTTTAAAAAAATGCTCATATACCCCAAGTTAGGAAGTGGCCTCTGAGCTGAGCGTGGAAGGAAACCAAGGATTCCAGTGACTAGACAGGAGAATGACCCTCCAGTACTGCTTTAGGTGGCCAGAGTTTGTGTGGAAGCTGAAGATGGGGAAAGGTAGTAGAACAGGGAAAACAAATGAGCCAGGCCTAGATCTGCAATCCAGCTAATAATGCTTTGCACCCATCTTGTGTCTTCATGCCCTGACATTCCAGGAAGTAAAGCCGTGAATGGCTCTGCAGCTAAACTACAGCAGTATTATTGTTGGCCAACAGGAGGTGCCACGGTGGCTGAAGCCCGAGTCTACAGGGATGCCCGGGGCCGGGCTAGCACCGAACCACACATCAAGCGACCAATGAATGCTTTCATGGTTTGGGCAAAGGATGAGAGGAGGAAAATCCTTCAAGCCTTCCCTGACATGCACAACTCCAACATTAGTAAGATTCTAGGTAAGTGCCCAGGTTGGCTTTCCTCTCAGTGACTGCCTGGTGGGGAAGGGGAGTCAATGTGGGAGCGGAGTACACCAAGAACTGGGAGGGAAAAGAAGATTCTTTAGTTAGCTGCATTCAAGGAAGTGCAGACATTGCAAGAAACCTTGCTTGCCTCTGCACCACTGATATAGGCAGGAGTATTGCCCTTCCATTCCCCCTTTTTCTTGTTCCCTTTTCCCTTTTCCCTTCCTTTCCTTTATGCGGCTAGTCCGCTAGCCTCAGCCGCCCCAGTAGCAGGGACACAGGCACCCCTCACACTGTTCATCTCGCCGTTGCTTTTCACAGAGTGGGCCAGGGTGAAGAATTCCTTTCCGAAACAGTGCTATTAACATTTGCCTCCATGCACTTTAGCATCCCCAAGCTTTCTGCTGACACAGTAACAGTAGTGTAGGAAAAAGAGGGTTTTTTCCCCCTCTCTTTTGTAGAGGAGGGGCAGGGAGACCCCTGGGTGTTAAATTCACAGGCTGCCACAAAACCTTGGAAACACTTATAGACCTTACAGTTTTCTGCTACAATAATTCCTTGTAATACACCCCATCACAACAGCTCATCAGAAACTGCTTGAAAACCCAGAGAGGGCGTGAAATTCATGGCACTCTGAACAGTGCCTCTAATGATAACTTGGGAAACTTGTAAAATACAGTTGCATTCATGTTAATAAGACATGACTAGTTCCAATTTAATAATTGCCGATGGAGCATCCAGGCAGCAAGTCAAAGGCCCTTAGTGCAGCACCCTTCCATAATGTTAAGCAAGTTACCCAGGGCTGACTCAACACTTGTCTTGGCCAACCAGGACAGAATCTTCCTAATGTAGCTCCTTCAGTTTGGAATTATTATGCCCAACATATTGAACATATTTTATTCAATATGTCACATTAGAGTTAACATGTTTCTTTTTAGGGGAGAAAAAAAAAGCCCAACAGAAAGCAGCACTGTTCTATTTAAATTGTCATGATGTGACAAAATTCCCAAGGAAGCAGATTAAGATGCTTTAAACACATTTAGAGCCAGAAACCGTGGTTTAATTTTTTAAATGTTTTGTTCAAAAGCAATAAATATTTAACCTGAATAAATATCAATGATTGGGGGCATACACAAATACACATGTTTTGCCTCTAGATAAATAATTTAACTTAATTCTGAGACAGTGTGAGTCAGTGACCTCTTTGCAAATTAGAAACATATATCAGAATGAAGAGTGGTGAAAAGTTAAAATCCAGGCTCGTCCTTATAGCCTTTTAAGCTAAAGATAGATTTTTTTTAATGTCACTAACAATAAAGTACTTTTAAAAAATCAGTATGCAACTAAAAGACATGTATGGATGCTATGGTCTTGAATCCTAGACCCCTTTTAACTGAAATGGGCTGCATAAAGACAGTTGATATATAAATATGTGTGTTTATATATATATATATTATATATATATATATATATATATATATATATATATATTTTCCCATAAGCAAAACATCCTAGAAATCAATGTTTCTCTGTCCTAAAGTTCAATATCTTGCTTGAAAGTTTTCATAATTTTAGCCTGCCGTTTCAGTAACAACATGAATAGGCTTTCAGTTGTGTATAAAACCTGCCCTGTTTAAAATTTGGCAGCTGCGGAGAATCTATATTATTTGTGTGCATTCTGCGAAAAAACCATTAGGAGTATAGTAACTGTATTCATTAAAATGTAAACTTTTGGTATAAATATTTCAGGAGTGCCAGAAATACTCTATCCGTTAGGCATGGCATTAACCTGCCAGAGGCTAGGCTAGCATACAGAAAACTATCTGCAGAGACTCTCAGCACTGTTAGCCGCTACCCTAAGGAAGGGGTGGAGAAGGGCCATCCTAGCGAGGCAGATCTGAGGTGCTGCTGCTTGCAGACACTATTTGTACAACTTTTCCATGTGTTTACATAGGGACTGCGGAGCTGCCATCCTGTGCTCCCAGCTGTATGGAACAGCTTTCTTCCCCAGGGAAGCGCACACACACAAAAATGCAATTTGCTACACTTAAAAAAACACATCCCTTCCTTGTCAAGTGTTTAGATAATTCCTTGTAAACAATATTAGATATTTGAATACTTCTACCTCTTCCTGTATAAACTGTATTAAAATTTTCAGTCATTTTATTGGTGTAGCTATGAATGAACGTTTACAGTCCTTGAAAGTGGTATATATAACTGCAACTCTGCTTTCCGGTTCTTGAGCTAAAACTTCCCCAGGAGAATTCAGTGCTTTTAATTACTACTGGCCAAAAGAAGACAATGTGCCCAGACAGCAGCATTTTAAATCTGTTAGGACGTCAACATCTGCTGGCCTCCTTTCAAAGGGTGGGCCTGTCCTACCCTGGATACTCGGCATATGAGAAGCATTTGTATTTCTGGAAACGAGGGAGCTCATCATAAACTTCCTGGGTCACTCTAAAGAATGCATAAGCCTCCTTTATCAGTTTAAATCTTCAAAAAAAAAGCATAAAGGAAGTGGCAACAGACAATTCAGGATGTGAATTGAGGCTATTGTAGAGCGTAACTCTGACTTTGGGTTGGGGAAATGGCAATTCAACCAAGGATTATGAAGTCCCCACAAAGTATAAATCCCCATGCCCAGTGCCAGGGATCCAGAGATGAAGAATGGCAGTGGTGGGATAGGTGACTATAAAATGTAGCAACAGTCATTTTTTAGGCCTATTTTGGAAGAATTGGGGTGGCTGGTGCTGAGAGACGCCACAGAACAGGAGATGCTCAGGGGGTGGTCAGAATGTCCCCTTTTTCCCATGGGACCTCAGTGATATTTTGTGTGCAGGCTCTCGCTGGAAATCCATGTCCAACCAAGAGAAGCAGCCGTATTATGAAGAGCAGGCTCGGCTAAGCAAGATCCACCTAGAAAAGTACCCGAATTACAAGTATAAACCCCGACCAAAACGCACCTGCATTGTGGACGGCAAAAAGCTCCGCATCGGAGAGTACAAACAGCTGATGAGGTCTCGGAGACAGGAGATGAGACAGTTCTTCACTGTAGGGTAAGATCTACAGCTCTGGGCCACCCAGGCTTTCCTGCCCCTGGGGTCCGGCTGGAAGGGCCTTCTTTTATTCCTTAAATTCCTCCCATGTACCAGGTACTCACTACAGTAGGCGCTAGGGACACAGCTATAGAACAAAAAGCTGTACTTGCCTTCAGGGATCTTACTTTGGAAGGGAAAAGGGGGAAGTTAAGGGAAGGATGAGACCATGTGGATACAGATAAGAGAATTAGAAAATGCATACAAAGTCATTTCAGAGGGAAGGTACTAGGGGAGGGTTGTCAGAATTGGCTTCCTTATAGGAAAAGGTGAAGGAAGAATCCCAGAAGGATATTGGGAGTTTGGAGTTGGCACAACTGTTTAGCCATGCTCTAGTTCAGGTTTGGGTTTTTTCTGGTCATTAGTGTGTTGCACTCTAGGTATAAAAATTCCCTCCGCTGATGCAGAATGGCAACTCCTCTGTAATTTATAGTCCCAGAAAGCTTCCTGGGGCATTGAGAGATAAATGGCAACTTACCACTGGTCACACAGCTAATATGAGTCAGGGATAGGAGCTGAACCCAGATCTTCCTGAGTCCAAGGCTGGACCTTCTCTATCCTATAATTTCTTCTTATGAGGTGACGCTTAGAGCTCATTCAGTCTTACAAGTGCCCACATAGCTCTGTCCTGTAGCAGCGACCTTCCCCTAGGAGCCTAGAGAAGCTTGCCTCTAGACTGTGGGTCTTTCTCTTTGTCTTCTAAACAAATCTGAGATGGTTGGTGCCCACACACGATGTTTCTGATAGTTAATTTAAAACAAACAAACAAACAACCCCTTCCTCAAAAACCCTGAACCTTAAGAAATCCCCAGAAGCCTTCTAGATTCCCTGTATTGTGCTTAGGACTCTAATCGAATAGTCTGCTTTTGTTGTGGGCTCCACCACGAGATAATTGACCCTGACATCGGTTACGGGGCCCTCAATTTTTGGCTCAGAATACTGGACTCCTGTTGCAGTAAATTATTCTGCGGTGGAGGCAGCAACAATGTGGATTTTTCTTTCTGAAATCAGGAACTAGACATGTTTTTGATATCTGGGAGTACGATTTTATGTCATTCTGTTTAAGAATTAGGTAATAGATTTCTGGTATAAATTTTGACTTGGCTGACTTACCGTCTGCACCAACAGAGAAGCTGTTTACCGATGCCTCCCCTTCCCCCTGCCCCCCCCCCCCCACCCCGTAACCGCAGTCATGGAACTGAATGGCAGTACAAATGGCTGGCCGCCACCGATCGAAGGGGCACGACGTCTCTCTTCCCCAGGGAGGTCTAGCTGAGGGTGGAGGGACAGGAGAACAGAGAGTGCAGCTAAAGCGAGAAGCAGCAGCCTCAGAAGCATAATCTTTGACTGGGGAGGCCTGTGGGAGAGGGCTGGGGGCAGGAACATAATATGAGTAGACAACCAGACGAGTCCCATTCATCGCTGCTAACCGTAGGCAGAACTGAATCGCAGGACCGTGCCACAGGAAGGAGCAGACTGAAGTTAAATGTGCAACGAGAAAAGAGATACCCCAGGGGAAGAAATGGGGAGCCGCTTTCTGTTTATATGAATAGTAAGAAACGTAATCCAGGGAACAGCAAACTGACTTGAGAGTCGTGTACGGAAGCCGGATGGTGGAGAGTTACGTCTGAGCAGATGACTTGAAATTGGTTTGGGAGGGCTTATGGCTCAGCCGTAGGTGAAAAGAGAAAAATGGAAGGAAGGGTATTATAAAATATCATGTTAGTATGGAAATGTCACTAGTGATAATAGTAGTAATAGACAGCATTTATAGAGTGCTCTAAGGTTGGCAGTGGGCTTCCTGCTTTCTGTCTCACTTGGTCTTCACAACAATCCTGGGAAATAGGTGCTGTTATTACTAGTTTACAGGAACAAGGTAAAGGGAGGGTGGTTGCCTTGGGTAGTTCCCAGTAGATGTAATTGTGCTGTGGGGCAAACTCCTGTGTCAGGGTATCTCTGGTCACAGCAGGGACAACATCCAGTAAAATTAGCCCCCAACATAAGCATGATAAGGAAGTTGTTTTCTAGTTATGTTTGATTAGGATAAAGCAAGAGGTATTTCTAATAACCACAGCAGGAAGGCATTGGAGGGATTTGTTTGACTCCCCCACCTCCCACCAAGCACCCAACACACATACTGTCTGAAGAAAAAAAAGTGAGTTTTGTTTGTTTGTTTTGAGACTAGGCCTAACTCGCTCAGGTTGGAAATGCATTAGCTGCTCACAGGGTCAACCCAACAGCTGATGGCATGAAAGCTCTGACTGCCTCCATGTCCATCCTGGGCCAGTTTTCCCCTCCTTAGGCAGCCTGGTGGTTCCACACTCCTTGAAGTCAGACTTAGGGAGAACCCTCAATAGGCGTTAGCCCTATTAGAACTCAGAGCCTGACCTCAAGGGATTCGCCAGCCCCTACCATACTCCTACCCTCCAATAGCAAGGACTATAGATTTGGTAGACAACAAACAACAACAACAAAACTATAACATTTTAAAACATCTCTGCTTCCAAACTCATCAAAGTCAGTTGAAAGGCCAAGTCCTATTGCTATGCACGTGACCATAGGCACCATAGGGTGAAGTCCTTTTTAAGTCCTTTTTCTAGAAGGGGGAACTGAGTCTTAGAGGCAAAGAGGCTTACCCAAGATCAGTAACTGGTAAAGCTAAGATTCAAACCCAACTCTTTGAATTCACATTTGGAGCTTTTCCTACAAGGAATGTTTGTTTCTACCTCATTTTCCCATGAAATGAAACTATGCCTTGTACATTAACTCTGTATCAGTCTTGAATTTTTCCCGACCATTATGACAGAGAACTCAAGAACCTGGGGACAACCCGAGGTCTTAAGGAGAGACCTTAGAATACAGGCTCACCATTCTTAACTATCTGGGATACTCCCTCTAGGAAAGATCATTTTAGACCTGGTAGAATAGATACCCATATAGTGAATTGGGCTGTGCCAACAGATTCCCACAGAGGGTCTGATGCCCTGTGCTTCCCATTCTGTTGGCCATGTCCTGATTCTGGCTCAGTTGTTATCCCTTTGTAAGGTTGACTTGCCATTTAAATCCAAAGTCACCATGCAGGATTTCTACTTCCAATTTCTTTTATTCTTGTAAGTGGTTGTCCTTGATAGATTATTAACTTCCCTACGTTAATCTTTTGAAATTGACCTTCTTTAGATGTGAGGTTGTTACAAGTAGAGTAGAAGAAAAAACAAACATGAAATTCAAAGATTGCTATTGACTTCTTGATGGGGTAGGGGGCAGGATCAATATTTATAGCTGCTTGTTGGGAAGACTTGCATAACTTTCAAGCTAATAAAACTTACATAGAAAAGGCAAACACTAGCATGTCTTTTCCTAACCATTCAAATAACTAATTGCTTAGAGGTTCCTCTTTTCAGTAATTCCCCTTAACCTTTTGAGAATATTTTAGAAAAAATAACTACTATCAGGTGAACTTAATAATAACTTAAGTCAGACCGTATCCTGGATATAATTCCCTTCCTGAAGTGGTACAGTTCAATTCGTTTTAATCAGTGTTTTAGTAATTGTCTGCTATATGGGATGCCTGGGCTAGGTAGAGGGATGCAAAGATGGATGCTGACTCAAGCCTTGCTTTCAAAGAGTTTATCATTTCATGGGGGCTGGAGAAGGCGAGGTAAAGGACAAGTACATAAATAGCTATGGTATGAAAGTAAGATAAATGTAGGATAGACACAAATAACTAAGCTACAGAAGTATGAGAGAATGGAAGCAAGATGCAAAGGAGAGATTCAGGCAAAGTGGTATATGAGATTTGGGGAGTGGAAGCATCTGAATTTATAATACTCCCAAAGAAAGCACCACTTAATAATAAGTGAAATTGTGTTTTTTGAGATTTATGTACCTTCTAAGAGCCTCTTCTCCCCACCCTCATGATTTGGTAAATTTGACATATTCTTCTGCTAACTTCAAATTTTTCTTTAGTAATTTCAGTTTGTAGAATGCCTTGCTGAACAACCTTGGATCAGCCTTGGGTTTATGGAACTGAGATCTAAGAGGTCTAGGGTTGCATCCTGGTTCACTGTGTGACCAAGAGCAAAGTACAATCCTTTCTTGGGCTTCCATTTCTTTCTTTGTAAAATGAAAGGAGGGCTTCTAGACTAGGGGATTTTAACCTTTACTGTCATGGACCTCTTGGCCAATCTAAGGGAAGCCCTTGTACCTCTTGAGCTGTATGGGAAAGCCCTTCTTAGAATAATTTTTAAAAATAATTTAAATAAATTTTAAATACTTTTAAATATTTTTTTAAAGGCAATTGGGGTTAAGTGACTTGCCCAGGGTCACACAGTAAGTGTCAAATGTTTGGTCTGAGGTCAGATTTGAACTCGGGTCCTCCTGACTTCAGGGCCGGTGCTCTATCCACTGCACCGCCTAGCTGCCCCTAAATAATTTTTAAATAATAAAGTTTTTAAATGAAAAAAGTAAATGCTAAATTATAGTTAGTGAAAATAAAGATGTAATTATTTTCCAATCTAAGTTCATAGATCCCCTGAAATCTGTTCATGGACCCCTTGGAGCCCTGGTCTAGATGGCCTCAGAGAGCTCTTCCAGGCTTCATGTTGGTTCTAAGGGAATGATGTAGAAGTCATAAAATATATGATTTCCCATGGTTTTGTTGACTATAGTCCCAGTCTTATGGCTGCTCCTTAAAAAGAAAAAGAATTCCATTCAGTACTTTTCACATTTCTAATTTATATGAAATTAAAAAATCATATTCTCCTTATCCATAAGTGATTTGAACACTTAGCACTTTGTGTCTTACTCCTAGAGGCACTGAATGGAGCCTTTAAGGTGTTTCTAACCACAGCATATGTGTCTGAACTGTATCCCTGACCACCTTTCTAAATGACTCTTTATTACCACATTATCCTCCCATTTCAAGTACTGAACTCAGACCTGGGAGGGAGAGTTTTGAAAGA